GGTAAGCAGATAAACATCAAATTTTCATTTTTGGGTGAACTATCCCTTTAAGCTCTCTTTGAAGTATTGTGCTTGAATGGACAAATTCACACAAAAATTATGTCAAAATGCCCGTCTTGGTGAGTATCCTAGCAGACATAGTCAGCTGAACGTACAGTATCAGTGCACTGGATCAGTGCTTTCTCTTAAAGTGACAGCACTTTCTTAATGTTAATCAGACAACACGGAAATCTCTCAGTGCTCTTGATTGAATCATTTTTGTAACTTTAATAAGGATTAATCTTTAATTTATACAGTCAAATATGCAATGTTATTTTACATTTGATTTATTCAATTTCTGTACCTAAAAACTGTTAGACATATCTAAAAAAAACTGAAAAGCACTGCTTATTTTATTTGTATCTTTTTTCACTCTTTATTTATTTGTGCTGTTTCTTGGAGTTAGATTTTTTGTTCTCATTTTCTTTATTTTTATTTGACAATATAGTTTTTTCCCTAAACATAGCACATACCGAACCGTACCGAAACGTGACTCTAAAACCGTGATACCAACCGAACCGTGAGTAAGTTGAACCATTGCATCCCTAGTGTAAGTAGGCCTACATAAAGTAATTTATTCCTGTGATGGCAAAGCTGAATTTTCAGCAGCCAGTCTTTACTGTCACTTTTGATCAACTGAATGCATACTGAATAAAAGTTCTTTTTCAAAAAAAAAAAAAATCCCAAACTTTTAAATATATATATATATATACTGTATAACAACCAATAATATCATAGCACAACTGAGCACAAATGCTCAGTCCAATCAAATCCCAGTGGATAAAATCAAGTCCCGCCCTGCATTATTTCCTGCTCAGTGTTTTGCTTTACTCAGATGTATAGCATGCAGAGTCCATTTCAGCCTGCAGAGTAAACACAAGACAATCTCTCATCATTTAATATCTGTCTTCAGTGGCCTTATCTGCAGTCCGCTCTATTTTTTTCATTTCATGCATTATTTCATTCCTGCCTGTTCGATCACTTAGCATCTGTCTCCGAGTTATTAATGTTTGTTTAGTAGAGCCCATGTCAGGGGAACATCTCTGTCTCTCGCTCTTCCTCTACTTCTTATCTCTGTGAATCATGGGTAATATATGATTGGCTGTAGGGCATTAGGGCATTAGCTGCTCTGAACAATAGTGCTTAATAACCATGACAGAGCAAACAGTACGAGCAATGTTACCTGCCTTACACTGCCAGCCCTTAAGGGTTAGTTCACCCAAAAATGAAAATGATGTCATTAATTACTCACACTCACGTCGTTTCAAACCCGTTAGACCTTCATTCATCTTTGGAACACAAATTAAGATATTTTTGATGGAATCTGAGAGCTGTCTGACCCTGCATAGACAGCAACGCAACTGAAATGTTCCCAAGTCCAGAAACCAACCGTAACTATACGAAACTACGAGAACAACGTATGCTGTTCTGTGTCGGCTGCGTCACGCCGGATCTGTTTCCTACGTTGTTGTGATTTGATCTGAACGGAAACAGTGTATCCGCGTGGCGTAGCTGACACAGAACAGCATACACGGGTTTGAAACGACATGAGGGTGAGTAATTAATGACAGAATTTTCATTTTTGGGTGAACTAACCCTTTAACATGTCAGTGTGTGCATGTGCATTGTAGTTTTCCATTCTTTGCCAAAGAAGCACATTAGTGCATGTTGGGAAAAGTAATCAGTTGTTCACAGCAATGTCCTTGACCCTTTGGGTCATAGCTTCCTGTGTCTGTCCGAGGAGGAACTGGAGGTCACGCTACTGGACATTATTACATCCTGTTGTGGTGGTGGGCGTATTAGCTTTGGGAAAAACATTTGAGACACTTAAAATGACTACAGCTTTTCAGTGTGAACAAACTCTGGACTGAACTTTACAACTTTGACCCTGTTCATGCTCATAGTCTTCACAGTCCTTTTGGTTGTATTCGTTATTTTTTCTTCTACATTAATGTCATTCTATTTAATGAATGTACATGCTAGGCTTAAATCCTTTTATGACTTTATGAATGTCCTGTTTGAAGTGTTTGAGTATGTCCTGCGGTGATAATAAGCTGTGTTCATATTTAATATTTAATTCTTTAATGGCTCAGATAGTTACAGTCTAGTTTTATATCACACATTTATGGCCTGTTGTGCGCCACTTGTTAATAAATTAGCCTGTTTTGAATATTATCTTACACTCTGACATTACATGAGAAGTTATTTGCATGTTCTAACCTCTTATTTTAATATGATCTTAAAGCATTTGGTATAATGATTATATTTCTCTCTTGAATACACGCTTACAACTAGTGTTCAAAGTTTAGTGTTGCTAAGATTTTTAATCTCTTAAGCTCATCAAGGATGAATTTATTTCATCACAATACAGTAAAAACAGTAATATTGTGAAATATTATTACAAATTAAAATAAGTCATAATAAATAGTAGTTGTAATATATTTTAAAATGTAATTTTTAAAAATATGTCTTTAATGTGTTCAAGAAACATTTCTAATTACTATCTATGTTGGAAACAGCTGTTCTGCTTATTTTTTACAGAATCCGTGATAGATTTTTTTTAACATTATAAATATATTTTCCTTCAGTTTTATCAATTCAATGCATCCTTGCTAAATGAAAGTATTAATAAAATCTAAATAAATCCCAAACGTTTGAACAGTAAAGTAAATGTGTTCCCTATAACCCTGATCTTGACCACATGAATAGCATTATTAATACCTAAACCTGGTATTATGTATGTTGTTTATAGTTCTTAAAGCTGTGCACAAAGAGATGTCAATTTGTTCAGAACTGAAAAATATTGAGAAAACATTTGGTGTCAAGGTGATACTTGTTCTCAGTTGATTAATCATTTGAGAAGTCATTATCGGGGGATAAAATTAAAAGCGCAGAATGCATAAATGAGTAACATTTGGCTTTGGTGAGTAAATAAAACAGCATAAAACAGGTAACTTTATTAGGAACAGCAACATTACATGCTTTATGTCAAACTGTAAGAATGATAGACAGACTCTCTCAGATGTAAGTGATGTGCGTTTTTCAAATCAAAGACATAAAGCATCTACTCAGGAAAACATCTGTTGCATCGTTTACCTCAAAGGAAATGGTATCAGTTCATCTAGAATGCCTAATTTCATTTTCTGAAGAACTCCATGTGGTGACACATATGTGGAATATTTCACGCATTAAGCCACTAAAACAGAAATATCACAGACAGACGGAGACTGGCTCATCCAGAATGATCTGTGCTGTTTGTCATGAGTATGCAAAGTAAAAACATCTAAATAATTCCATTGTCTACAGATGTTAAATACAATTTTTATGACTTGTAAATTTTCTCAATTCATTCGCCGTTGGCAAGTGTGGCAAAAAGTTAATTTTGAACCATGATTATAATGAATGCAGAGAAAGGTTTGATTAGGTCAAGGCCACATGAAAGTCATTCTGCCCCATAATCCTGTACTGCCAGATCTGAATATTAATGATAGTCCATCATAAGGGAAGGGTCATCAACTCTCTCTCTCTTTTCTCTCATTCTCTTGCATTCTCATATCTCACTATCTCTCCTCTCTACAACCTTGATATGCCCCTCACACCTTTTCAATATCTCTCTCTGCACTGCTCTCTCTCATCTCACATGGTCGTTCACCTGTGTTGTCACCTGTCTGTGTGATCAGCTGCTGAAAAGTGAGAAAAGCTGCTCGACTTCCTGTTATTCTGCTCACAGTGTATCATATCAGCACATCTACAGTTGACACCTCTGAGAGAGAGAGAGGTGTATTTTAATGTGCAGTTACACTAAAGGCGACTAAACATTATATATAGCATATACATGCACGAGTATGAAGCCTGTTTTTAAGACCATTAAAATTTCTGCATTGTGATTCTCATTAGTATTTTTTTAAATTTTGTTTAAAAAATGTAATATTGAAAACAAAAAATATTATTACATTTAATCTTTTAATCAAAACATTTTCCTTATATTTTTACTCTTGATTTTGAGATTAAAATGACGGCGACATTCTTCCCAAGTGTCATGAAATTCACCATTATTCATTAGACTATTATGATCTGGTTTTAAACTGAACTCATTAAATCTCATTAAGAACTCATTAAGTCTCTATTTCAGTATGTATAAATATTGTTTAAAAGTGTTTACTCCGTTATTTACAGTTGTGGTGTTTTTTTTTCAGAGGGAAAAGTTGAAGTGTCTAAAGAAGGACTGAAGCTGTGCACTATGGGACCAGGAAAAGTGTTTGGAGAGCTCGCCATCCTTTATAACTGCACCAGGACGGCCACTGTGAGAAGTGAGTACAAACAGAGTGCAGTGATAAATAAAATTAACCTAATTTGGATTCTGATGGCTCAAGCAAGGGACATTTTTTCAACTGCATACATAGACTAACACAGCTTGAGTCTGTTCTAGGCCACATTTCCCAATCTGCCACCGGAGGATTATAATTCTCGGTACGATAGAAGACATCTAGTCACTCCATCTGTGATGATAATCTGTGATTTCATTGATAGACAGGAGGCCAGATTGAGAGAGATATGAGGGCTGAATTAATATTAAGAGATAACAAATGAGTGAAAAATAGTTCTCGGATATTGTTGTCTGTTATTGGTTATTTTGTGATTTTAACAACCCCCTTACCCTAAGTATTAAAATTTTCCAATTCTTTTCAAATGACCACATTTTCATTAGGCTTTTCCACATTTATAAAAAGCCCCAAATTGCTCCAACTGATTCTGTAATAGCCACAGTTAATGACCACTGTTAATCCGCCACGGGATTAAAAACATGACGTCACGAAACATGACTTTTTATCTCACAATTCAAACTTTTCTCTAGCGATTCTGAGTTTATATAGCGCAATTCAGACGTTTTTTAAATCTCAGTTATATAAACTCAGAATTGCAAGACATAAACAGAATTGCAAGATATAAACAGAATTGTGAGATATAGTCAAGTGCGACATATAACTGCAAGATGTTTATAACCCGCAATTCTGAGAAGAAAAATCTGAATTATGATATATGAACTTGCAATTGCAAGAAAAAAGTCTGAATTGAGAAAGAAAAAAACGCAAATTTCAATTGCGATATGTAAAGTAACTCAGAATTCAGAGAAAAAAAAATCAGAATTGCAAGATATAAACTGAGAATTGTCAGATGTAAATAAAAAATTTAAATGTAAATTGTGAGAAAGAAAGTCAAAATTCAGTTAATTGTAAGATATAAATTCAGAATTGTGAGAAAAAAAGTCTAAATTGTGAAACACTAACAGATTTTAGCCAGATCATCTCTTATGCACAGGCTTGTGTGCTGTGTGGTTTCTGAATTATTTGCAAGCCTTTCTCTCATTTATTACTCCATTCTTCTCTTAATTTTCTTTTTCCTCTGTACCATTGTTCTCCTTCATGCGTATTCTATTCTTGCCTCCCCTTGGCTCTTTTTCTCCTTCCTCTATCTCTCCTCCTCCGGCTGTGTTTATGGTGTTTCTGCGCTCCTCTGCTCTCTGTCTCTGGTTCTCTGGATAGCATTTGGGACAGGAAGTGAGCTGGACTGGGATTAAGGGACATGCATGTGTCTGATCTCTCCATGCACAACCAAATTCGACACATGTCCCTTGTGCACAACTGCCACCAGCAAACCCATCTCTAATTTCACTCGGAATAGAATCTGGATAATATTCATCTCAGTTGTTTTCACTTCAGTTCAGTTCATGTAAATTTAAAGGAATTTTATACTTTTTAAACATCTGTTGCATGTTGTTGATTACAATAGATTATAATTCCAATTTTTCCCTCAATTCCTGTAGTGCAGTTTTATAGAAACCTAGCTGGAAATTGTACAGCACTGCAGATAACATTTCAAATGAGCAATTATCACACTGTTTTGAAAAATATTGTCCATTTTTTGCATCCTTATTTGTGCATATTTTAATTTATGTAATGAACATGTAAACCTAGTAATTTTCACACAACATGCCCAAACCTACCAGAAAAGGGACGTGCTGTAACCATAAACAAAAGGTCATCTGCCTAGATGCGTTTTCCCACCTCAAAAGGATGATTTAGACAACTTCACATCTCAAATGCAAGCACAACAAAAATATGAGCCTTTTAAACTAAGTATGCAATATCATATACTGAATTACTGTATAAAACTTCAATATGTAACTTGCCCTGCACTCTTTGTGCTAGAGACATGAATGACACCACAAATTGTGGGGCTCGTTGAATATAGCTGCATTTCATTTCAAAACGATCAGACAGCTTTCAAATGTTTAGCAACTACAAATTTAGCTATGGCAGACAGCACTTTTCCTCAGAGAAAGTATTTGTATTGCCATCCAAGTCTTTGCATACAGTAGCTGCATGTGTGGTTATTCATCTTTCTCTCCCTGTCTCATTCTTTTAAACACACACCTTTTGTTGTAGTTGGTTTCCAGTGGTGTCTGCATGTAAATGAGTCTTCTGGAGAAGCTGTGGCTTAGAGTATTAGAATGCACAAGGGAAACAGCCCAGATATGTCAGCACTTAAAGTGGTTTTGACCTGCTGTGATCTTACCCACCCTACAGCTGCCCTGTCCTTTCACAGCTATAAACAACAGAGCAGAGCAACAGAGAGCAGGTCCAGTGCTTCACAGCACATGCTAGATGAAGGCTCTTTATCACAATCCTCTGATGTAATTATTGAACCCAAGTGGATGCTCAACATAAGAGAAACACTGACATAGCTCTCAAGCACATTAGAAGCCCGGGGGAAAACTAAGAACATTATTAAAGCAAGCACATTCGTTTGTTGCTTTACAGAATGACACCAAACCACAGATATTCAGTATCTTTACTATAACTAAATAAGTTGTTGTCTTTTAGAAGAGATACAAAATTTACATTAAATGCCGATTCATCAAATTAATCACATATATGTAATTGCTGAGTGAAGCCTTCAAAATTATAACATTTAGAAAAAAAAGGAAACTGGTCACCTGTAACAGTTCAGTATATAACTGAATACAGTGTTATAAAATATTTCTATTTCAAATAAATGCTGTTCTTTTTAGCTTTCTTTTCTTTCTGTTTTTCCATTTATTTTTATACAGCATTGTACTAGTTTTTCACAAAAATATTAAGCATCACAACTGTTTTGAACATTGACAATAATGAGAAATGTTTCTTGAGCGGCAAATCAGCATATTAGAATGATTTCTGAAGGATCATGTGACAATGTAGACTGGAGTAATGATGCTGAAAATTCAGCTTTGCATCACAGGAATAAATTACATTTTAAAATATATTACAATAGAAAACAATTATTTTAACTTGTAATATTATTTCACAATATTACTACATATTGTTTACTGTATTTTGGATCAAAACACGTAGCCTTGGTGTGCATATGAGACTTCTGTAAATTTGTATCTGTTTATACATTTTAATCTAATCGATCTTTTCATATCTTTTATTTAGACTTCTGTCCTGTTCTAGGATGCAGTCCTTATTTGGTGAATTGATTTCCATGCACAAGATTTCTGACAGCTTCAGTTCCAACCTAAAAATCAGTGTACATGCTGATAGACTCCAGCTGAACTGCTGTCCATTCCTTTAGCTTTGGTTCAACAAATTTTTAGCTTTTTCCCCATACACAGCCTTCTTGAGTGCAATATCATAAAGTGCATCTTACAGGGAACATTTTTGTGTCAGTCATGGCTCATGGGGGTGTGACAAGTGCAGTTTGTAAAGTTCTAATCTTCTTGTGGTGCCAGTCTGTGTCTATGTGTGTATTTCTGAGATTGTAATGCTCAGGCTGGATATCATCACTCCAGGTGACTATTTGTAATGGAGAAACATTTGCAGTAGGTACAAGAGAGAAAGAGTAAATGGCCAGAAATGACCAATTTAAAAGTATACAACAAAAGTTGCTATCATTTTCTTGCCTTTCTAGATGGTAATACAGTAGAGTTTGTGTGTATATACAGTATATGTTTGTGTATGTAGCCGAGTCATCTCTGTCCCACATGAGGAGGAAGTCAGACATGGCAGTTTGACATGACAACCCCATTTGCTGCTTTGCTAGTATAGATTATACCTCTATCCCAGAAGCTTGAAAGTCGTAATGCTTTGAGTTTGAGGGATAAGCTCATGGACAAGACCTTGAAGTATACACATTAGGTATCTCAAACTGTGGCCCTGCAGCATGTCTGATGAAAACTCAATAAAACAGCGGGCATTTTAGTTCTGATATGTGTTTTTGTGTTCGCTGATTATGGAAAACATACCCAGTAGCGATCAGTTTGCATTTCAGATGCAACTTGCTTTGGCCCAGATGAATTTAGCAGTGGCCATCAGTAAGGAACAAAAATTTAATTTGTTTAATTTAGTTTAATTAGTAATTTTCTGTGCAGCCATCCAACTGAGATATACAGTGGGTACGGAAAGTATTCAGACCCCCTTAAATTTTTCACTCTTTGTTATATTGCAGCCATTTGCTAAAATCATTT